CGCATGACAAGTTCCGGAGTCCCAAACCGCACTGCAATCTGGCGAATAAATCTGTCTTGCAGAAAGTGGAATGCTGTCCGAGTCTGTCATGCTCGTCATGCAACACAAAATCCAAACTCTATTGTAACGTTTGAGATTGTAACGTTTGAGCAGGTCATAATCGGAGCGAGCTTTTTCGCTGTACCCGGACTGAACCCCTGGGAGAGGAGCATTTTTTCCATTGTATCAAATGCAAAAATGTCTGGGTCTGGAATGTTGCCGGGTTTGTGTTTGTCATGCATATTTTGCATGACCCAGGCTGTTTGTAATGCATGACCTAGCATCACGGATTTTTGGAGGGCTTCCTGCTGCCTCATCCGCATGACAAATGTATGCCCCTCCCCGCGTAGCACAAACTAGACTCCTCTTGCTGATCATGCAACACAGATTTTTTTAGAGTCCAGAGTTAGCATCACAAGCTCCAACCTTTCAGACCCAGACATTTTTGCAATTGATACATTGTTGCGACGTCTAATTTCTCTACCTTCTCCGTCGCTTCTAAGAGAAAATCCTGGCCGAGTTGCTCCTTCACTTTTTCCGCGAGGTAATGTTTCACCTCGGAAATAGTCGGCGTTTTGCTTATCTCCACCTCCTATCAAGTGTAAAAATGTCTGGGTCTGGAAGAATGCGCGATTTGTCATGCTGCTTTTCCATGACCCATGAGGTCTGGAATGCCGGAGCTAGCATGACAGATTCTGCGAGACCTTTCTAATGCCTATCCTTCATGAGAAACTGCCTCCCGACTTGGTCAAAACTGGACGACTTTTGGTAATCATGCAACACAGCTTTTTGTATGCTGCAGATTTAGCATGACAAGTTGCATTCTTCCAGACCCAGACACTTTTACATTCGATACCTCTTCTTCCCCGGCTTCTTCCGCGTCTTTGATCTTTTGTTTGTTGATCTTCTTGTGCAATTTTTTTAACAGTTTCCTATCCGCGTCGCTGTCCGGCTTACTTAATGTAGCATCTTTTGGTAGTTCGTCGGCTTTCGCGATCTGTTTCGCAGCCTTTTTGGCGTAGCCGGGGGAAATATCAACTGCAAAAATGTTTGGGTCTGGAACTTTGCTTGCCTTGTCATGCAGGTTTTCCATGACCCATATGATCTGTAATGGAGGACCTAGCATGAAAGGTTCCGTGAGATCACTATCATGCCTATCCCGCATGAGAAACTACCTCTCGACTTGATCAAGAGTGGGCAGCGTTTGGTAATCATGCAACACAGGTTTTTGCGTGATTCAGATTTAGCATGACAAGTTCCAACCTTGCAGACCCAGACATTTTTGCATTTGATAGGAAAAGCCCGCGGACAGAAGCGCTTTCTCTGGCACGGCGGTTTGTCCGGCGAGTAAAGATTCCGCCTGCAAATTGGCCGCCTTCTCCTGCCTTCCTGGTAGTCGCTTCTTGTTTTTCTTTTGAGCGTCTTGTCCGGAGGATCGCGGCGAAGCGTTTGATGGCGCAGCAGTTGGAGATGAAGACGATGGAAAGAAGAATTCCTTGAACATAAAGTAGACACCAGCGAGGGCGAGTAGCCCAATCACTAAAAGTGCGACGAGAATCAGCACCGGGTTTATCCTGTGTAAAAACGTCCCAGCCGCAACATAGTTGTCATGCAATTTTGCATGCCCAGAATGTTTCTCATGCGGAGCCCCATGACAAGCATTCCCTAGTCGCGTTTTGGAATTTGTGATGCTATAGTCAGCACGATATGCTAGATCTGTGCTGCTTCTTAACTACCTCAACAGGATGACAGACACTACAAGGCCAAACGCGTCATGCGCAACAACCAAAGCTGGCTGATTTGTCTAGCAGATTTCCAATCCCGACTATGAGGTGGGGACGTTTTAACACAGGATAGGGTTGCATTCGGTGTCATCGGCGTCGAGGGCCGTGTTTATCGCGAGGAAAAATCCCCCCTCCCCATATTGACCAGGTACGTGCATTTCGAAAATTTGTATAGCTGATTTGTGACCACAAATCGGCTCTGTGTTGCATGGCGGCAACTCTACAGGCTCCGCCGCATTCTACAGGCGGTTTGTCATGCTGTTGCTCCTACAGCGTAGACGTGCGTCATGCTAAGTGCCTAGGCCAAAACCTGTCTACTCAGGCTTCATCTGGGCCTGCAGTCCTCGCCAGCAAGACAAATCTGATTTGTGTACGCAAATCCAGCATGATAAACTTCATTTTGATATGAGGAGGGGGGATTTTTTCTTTTGATAGTGTTCGACTCATCTTCTGTGCCCTCTTCTTCACCGCCCTCTTCCAAGCCCCTGGTGTCGTATCAACTGCAAACATATCTGGGTCTGGAAACTTGTAATGCTGGGTTGGGAATAGTGAATGCTCTGTACTAATGCACAGCCAAGCATGAGAAATATCTGCGCTGCTTAGCGTTGCAGTTTCCGCATGACAATCTGCGTTATTTCTGCCTGACAAGAAAAAGGGTCTCTTCTTGGACACGCATCACAAACTCTTCAGTTATACCAGACAAGCATGACAAACCTCGCATCCTCCCAGACCCGGACATATTTCCATTTGATATGTCGTTGCTAAACACGATTTCCGACACTTGCTGCTGCTGGGCCTCCGGTCCTTTCGTCGCTGAATTAGACAGGGGAGTTTGAGATGTATTTGTACCGCCTGCATCATCATCTCCCCCCCCCGAAGTTGTTCCGTTAGTCTGGTCAGGCGTGGGGGAAATGGTGAGACCACCACCTCCGTCGACATCTGTTTCGCACTGGATCTCCGTGTTACAGGGGACGAGTTCTTCCAACCACACCGTCGAAGCAGCTGGATCGTCGCGGCGAGACATCAAAGCTTCCAGCTGTAGAAAAGATGGCGTCCATGTGAACGGCGCTGGCGTGTTAACCGGCGGGGGTCCTTCCGGCTGCGGAATCGGCGGGAACGTCGAAAGCGTCTCCACTGGCGTCCACGTGTTCGCCGGTGGCGTGGTTCGCACGGGGGGCGCTTCGGGCTGCGGAATTCCCCCGCCGGGTTATGACAGTGCACAACTCCCACTCCCCCTCATTTGTCATGCAAAGTACCAAATTCCTATCTTGCTCGTAAGCACTGCTAGCATGACAAATTTTGGAACGTCAAGAAGTACAACAATCCGCATGAAGATTTGTCATGCGAAAGCCCCTTTTCTGCTGTTGCTTGTGTTGCTGTTCATGCCATACAAATGAGGGGGAGGGGAGGTTGTGCACTGTCATACTGGTGCTTGCGTTGTAACAACGGGGAACGCGGGCGCCCACGTGAAGGGTGGTGGCGTGGTCTCGTGTGTAAAAACGTCCCCACCCAAGAGTCAAGATGGGATTCGTGCTACACAAGTTAGCAAGTTTTGGCTGTTGCGCATGACAAGTTTGGGTCTCTAGTGTAGTGGTGTTTATTGGCTAGTAAAGTCGCATCACAAATCCAGCTCCCTATCCTGACTAGCGCATGACAAAGTACCAGACAGTGTGAGAAAGTCGCGCTGCTCATGGGGTTGCGCATGAGAAACATTTTTAAAATGTTTTTAGGCATGCAGATTTGCATGACAACTCTAGGGTCGGGACGTTTTTACTCAGGATACGTGGTGACGGGCTGACCGGGAAAAAGGGTGCTGGCAGGTCCAGGAGTTGGGATTACCGGAAATCCGCCCCCACCCGGAGTCGGATTCGGAAATACTGGAATTCCGCCCCCACTCGGACTCGGACTCGGGGTCGGGAAAAGAGGGTTGCCGGTGGTACTACTACTTCCTCCAGGGCTCGGGGTCGGCACAACCACCTCCGCTGAAGTGGAACTAGTGGAGGTTGTCGTGGGGGCTACTTCCAAGCTATGCCTTGCAAAAGCACCGTACTAAGTATGAATCGAATATACAATTTTTTCCCAAACAAGACTATGAAATTTGTAATGCTGATCTGTCTAAGACGGGCGATTTGTCATGCATTTATTGCAATTAGTACGAGAGCGATCCTTTTGCAGTGCATATAAACACGTTTTCGCCAGTTCCCCCTGTGGCTGTACCAAAATTTCCCGCACCCGCCGATACCGCCCGGTGGGGCCGCAGGTCGCGGAACACACGGCATTTGGTTCGTCGTGCCAATTCGACAAGACGCAATCGATTGGACAGGTGGGCTATCAAATGCAAAAATGTCTGGGTCTGGAAGAGTGCTAGGCTTGTCATGCAGGGTTTCCATGACCCACGCGGTCTGGCATGCACGGCCTAGCATGACAGGTTCTGTCAGATCTCTATCATGCCTTTCCTGCATGAGAACCTGCCCCTAAACTTGTTCAAAAGTGGACCTCTTTTGGTAATCATGCAACACAAATTTTTCCACGATCCAGATATAGCATGACAAGTTAGACTCTTCCAGACCCAGACATATTTGCAATGCATATGGGCAAGTGGTCCAAGTCGCAGTCCACAATTCTCTCCCGTTCTTCCGAATCCGCGGCCGGGCATATGGATTGTAAAAATGTCTGGGTCTGGAAACTTGTGATGCTGGGTGGCGTATCATGAAGAGGCCACAAGTGCTGGCTCAGCATGACAAGCTTTTGAGCTTC